CCAAACCCAACACTCAAGTCGCCATCCCTTTTTATCTTGTATCATTGTTTTAGCTGTTACCTTTGGACCTTAATTCTCTTTAAAGTTATCTTCTCAGTCTGTTGATTTTAGAGTGTCTTTCATGAATATAGTTCAGTTTTAAAAGCTTTTTCTAGTGGAAAATTGAAAACAAATGCAAAGAAAGGATATCACAATGAACCTCAAGTTCCATCACCCATGCTGTGCAGTTCTTAGCACGTTGTCCATCCCAGATATGATGGCTTTTATGTATACGTGTTTCAGCATTCATTTGTAAAATGGCCTTTGGTTGTTTTTGTAAGCGTAATCTCCTTATAATAATACCAGCTGTAAAGTTAATAGTTCTGTTTTATCTAATCCCAGTCCTTATTCAACTTTCTCATTTGTGTCAGATGTAGCTTTTCTGTGTTTGATTTATTCACATCAGGGTCAGAGTGCACATGATTATATTTTGTTGTTCTATCACTTTAGTCTCTTACTCTGCAACAGTTCCCTTCTCTTTTTTTCTATGCCATATTTTTGGTTAAACATTTATCCTACATTCTGGACCGGGGTGATTCCTTTAATGTAGTGCCATTTAATTTGTTTATGTGTGGATTTCCACTAAACTAGGTATAGACCTAAAAGAAGTGAAGACAAGGACTCTAATAAACAGCTGCCCACGAATGTTGAGAGCAGTATTATTTATGTCAGAGAAATAAGGTAGGATCAACCCAAGTGTCATCAGTGCACACACAAAGTGTGTAACAATACAAGCGATGCAGTATTATTCAGCTACAGAAGGAATGAAATTCTCATACATGCTGCAGTACAGATAACTCTGGGAGCATGTGATAGAGGCTTGATTAGATTCCAGTTCTTTGTGGAGCAAGAATGCTTCATAATATTATGTTATAGCATATCCTAACAAATGTTGTTAGCACACTGAAATTCATTTTTCTTTTCTAAAAAAAAAATTTGTGTGTGTTTTGTTGTTGTTTTGAGACAGGGTTGCATTGTGGCCTCGAACTCATGGTGATCCTGATGCCTCAACCTCCTGAGCACTGGGATTACCCGTGTGCACCACCACACTCAGTTTAAAAAAAAAAACTTAGTATAATAAATACACATAGCACAAAATCTGCCAGTTTAGTCATTACTGCCAATTCAGTGGCAGTAAGTCCACTTGCAGTGTTTTGTAGCCATTTGCAGAACTTTTCCAGAACTTTTTGTCACCCCCAACAGAAACTGTACTAATCAAGCGGTAACTGCTGTCCTTCCTACCCTTTATAACCTAGTAGCCTTTCCTCTACTTTTTGCCTGTGAACTTGCTTCTTTTTGATATTTTATATACGTGGGATCATCATAATTGTCCTTTTCCGCGTAGATATCTGGCTTCTTTTACTTAGCATAACATTTTCAGAGTTATCCATACTGTAGCATGTATGAGAATTTTTTTCTTTTTTTTTTTTTTTTGGTTTTTCTCCGGTACCGGGAACCGAACTCATGACCTTGTGCTTGCCAGGCAGGCGCTTTTGCCGCTGAGCTAAATCCCCAGCCCCCCTCTTTTTGTAACTGAATAATATTGCGTTGCTTGGAGATAGTACACTTGGTGTGTGTACTGATGATGCTTGGATTGATCCTACCTTTAGGCTACTATAAATAATACTGCTCTCAACGTTGGTGGGCAGCTATTTAGTGGAATCCTTGTTTTCAGTTCTTTTAGGTCTATACCTGTGAATGGAATTGCTGGAGAATTATTTTTATTGTGGTAAAATACATATACAGGCATCTTAACTATTTTTAAGCATAGAGTTCAGTGGTATTAAATTCGTTTAGAATGTCATATAATCATAGCCATCACTACCCACGTTCATTTTTCTCGCATTATTAAGATTCTGTACCCACTAAATAGCAGCCCCTGCACCCCCCCCCCCGTTCTCCCCTCCCTGAACCCTGGCAGCCACTGGGTTGTCACCTGGGCCCAGATGGCATCAACCTAACTTCTGCAAATAAAACTCCTGAAACCTCACGTAATGGTTTTAGCATGCATTGAAGACTATTGCCTGTATTTCATTTAGGGTTATAAAATGGAGATTTCTCTCAACCTTGTTATTCCTTCTGTATTTATTAGCTAACATCTTTCTAAACAAAGAATTCCCTCATCAAATGTTTTTTTCTCTGAAAAATAGTTTGTACCAGGAAGGCAGGAAAAATGCTTTATTCTTTATTGATTTTCAGAGAATCTGCCTGATACCCTAGAGACTTCCATGATACAGCTTAGATTTTTTAATATTTTGTATTTCTGTACATTGCAGACAATATTTTTTGATATTCAGAGTGCCCATTTATCTTGGACTGGCACTGACCAGCTTGGCCAAACCCTGGCAGTTTCTCATCTGGAATAAAACCTAGTTTACATGGGTTTGAGCTACAACTCTGCTATGAAATCTTGCGAAAATCAGATAATCTTTTCTATCTCTATTTCTTGTCTTAGAATGGGGTTAATATCCACTGCCTGCCTCCCTAGGCTGAAGTGAGATTACTTTAGTAAAATGCTTAGTTCTGTGGCTGGGAGGCAGTAAGCACTCAGAAGCCCAAAATGAGGTTTGCTTCATCATCTCTGGCAGAATTCTTTTTTTTTTAAACGCTGTTCAGAGTTTTCACACTCAAAGGAATGTGAAGTGCCTTTTTGTCCTCAATCTCCTATTCATAACAGGCCTAATTTTACCAGATTTCACTAACTGTTGCTTTAATGGCAGAGAGCTATTTTCTTGGACCTTGGAGTAGGTAATTTGGGCTCTTCATGAAATAGCAAACGGGAGCTGCTTGAAGGTAGATTTGCTGTCCCTGCCTGGACGAAGTGTCTCAGCTAAGAGTAGTCTCGGATGCTACCCTATTGGTGGTTGTTTTTTTTTGCCGACTTCCTAAAGATCAGGCTCTTAATTTAAATTTTCTTCATCAGAGGGTTAACTGTGACAGAACTTAATGGATGCTTTCTGCTCTCCATTAAGGCATTTAACTGTATAGGTTTTGACTGTAGAGATTGGAATTGGAACTGTTTATGTCATTTCTTTTTTCTTCTTTTTTTTTTGGTTTTTCTCCGGTACTGGGAACCGAACTCACGACCTTGCGCTTGCCAGGCAGGTGCTTTTGCCGCTGAGCTAAATCCCCAGCCCCCTTTTAAAAAATTTTTTTGTTGGCACATATTTTACACA